ATATACACAGCAACTCTGTTTACAAGTGCCTAATCATAGAACCAACCCAACTCCCTTTCAACAGATGAATGGCTAGAGAAACTGGGACTTACATTTATTATTTTTTTTCTTTAAAATACAGCCTCCAACATTTGATACATACCTACTGGGCTGCTGACTGTTTCCAATCCTCATCATTATATGTATTTTTTAAAGACTTATTTATTCATACAAACTGGGGTACAGGCCAGAGGCGCAGGGTTGGTGAGAGGATTCACCAGAAAGAGTGGGGAGCTAAACAGGTAGATGTACTGAAACACACTGCTGAAGAGAGAAGTGGGCAGGTCAAGAGAGGTCTGTCATGCCATGTGGGTTACCTCCCCGACTGGGGATGGAACTTGTGCTGCAGTGGCTTTGGAGAGCTTCCTAATGCTATTCTTTAACCCATTGCACCAACAGGGAGAGCCCCAAATAAATCTTTTTAAAAATTTTATAGACAAACTGAAAGCAAAGTGGCAATGAACACTTATGATGTCTCAATAATCACTTTAAATGGAAATGGCTAAAAGGTGTCAAGTGGCTGGATGGGTTTAAAAACAAAGTCCAAGCTTCTGCTTAAAGGAAACCCATCTTACCAACAAAGACAAGCATAGACACAGTTGATGGCTGGAAAAAGAGTCACACAGCAAACAGCAATAACAACAATAACAAAATCAGGACAGCTAACTTTCTATCAAATAACAGACTTCCTTTTAAACAAGGCAGTAAGAATACAAGAAGAAATAATACTCATAAACATGTATTCACTGAATAATAGAACACTGAGCTCATTAGACCATTATAGAACTAGAGAGATTTTAATATACCACTTCCAGAAATGAAGAGGTCAATATAACAATAAATAATGAAACAACTGTATTCAATAAGAGTTACATCAAACAGGTGTCACAGACATCTATATAATACACCCCTACAAAATTGCTGCATACACTTTTTTTTTCATGTGAACAAAGATCATTCTCTAGACTTGTCACACACTGGAATACAAGACAGATATCAACAAGTATATGAAGAACAAAGTCATATCACAAAGGCATCAAACTAGAAATCAGCTATGAGAAGAAAGCAGGAAAAAACCCCATTATATGGAGACTGAACAACACACTGCTGAACCACCACTGGGTTAATGAGGAAATCAAAGAAGAAATTTTGCTTTTTTTTTTTTTTTTAAAGATTTATAGACTGGGGTACAGGCCCAGAGACTCAGGGGCAGCGAGAGGCTTCACCAGAGACAGAGTGGGGAGCAGAACAGGCAGATGGAGGAAGTACACTGCTGAGGGGAGCAGCGGGCGGGTCAGGAGAGGTCTGCCGCACCATGTGGTCATCTCCAGGGCAGGCGGGAATCGCACTCATGCAGAAGTGGCTTTAGCTTCTCAGTGCTGTGCTTTAACCCGCTGCACCACCAGGGAGGGCCTTGTTTTATTCCTTTAAAACATTTATTTATGCAGAACTGGGATACAGACCAGAGGTGTAGGGGAGTAAGAGGATTAACCAGACAGAATGGGAAACAACAGGCAGATGGACTGAAATACACTGCTGAGGGAAAAAATGGGAGAGACTGGAGAGGTCTGCTGCGCCATGTGGGATCAAACTCATGCTGCAGTGGCTGCAGATTGCTTCATCATAGTGTTGCATTTTAACCCCTTGTGACACCAGGGAGGGCCCAAAAAAGAAATTTTGAAAATACCTAGAGATGAATGACAATGAGGAAACAACCTTCCAGAGTATATGGGAAACAGCAAAAGTAGTAATAGAGATAAGTCTCACATCTCAAGGAAGAAACTAGAACAGCAAAAATAAGGCCCTCCTTGGCAGTGCACAGACTAAAGCATAGCACTATGAAGCTCTCTACAGCCACTACACCCCAAGTTCCTTTGCCCAGGGAGCTGACCCACATGGCACAGCAGACCTCTCTTGTCTCTGCCACTGCTCCCTGTTCTGTTCCCCAGGCTGCCTGTTCTGTTCCCCACTCTGTCTTTGGTGAATCCTCTCATTACCCACCCCCCACATGTGGCCTGTATCCCAGTTCTTGTATGCAGAAATAAAAAAAAAATCATTAAGAAAAAAGAAAAGCAAAAAAACCCAAAGGCCAGTTGAAGAAATAAAAATTAAAGCAGAACTAAATGAAATAGAAGTCTAAAAGATCAATTAAATGAAAAATTTGTTATTTGAAAGCAAACAAAATAGACAAACCTCTAGCTAGACTCACAAAGCAAAAATGGGAGAAAACTCAAATAGTATCATAAAAATGAGACAGGAGAAATTACAACATAGCAGAAATTTAGAAAATAATTGGATATTACTATGAAAAGTACAACAATCTAGGTGAGATGGACCAGTTCTTAGACTATACAATTGTCCAAAGCTGAATAAAGGAGAAATTTAAAAAATGTAAATAAGCTAATTACAAGCAGTGAAATTGAAGCAGTAATCAAAACTCCCTCCAAAAAAGCCTAGGACCAGATGGTTTCACAAATGAGTTCTATCAAGCCTACAAAAATTCTTCAAAAAATTAAGGAAGAAGGAACATTACCAAATATTTTTTACAAAGGCAACATTACACTAATATCAAAACCAAAGAAAGACAATAAGGGGGGAAAAAAAGAAAGACCAATCTCTAATAAACACAGGTGCAGAAATCCTCAATAAAATCTTTAACAAACAGAATTCAATAATGCATAGAAAGACTCATACACTATGATCAAGTGGAATTTATTCCAGGGACACGGGGAGGGTTCCAACATCCAAAAATCAATGTATCTCAATACATCAACAAAAAGAAAAAGAAAAACCATATGATCCATCAGTTGGTGCTGAGAAAATATTTGATAAAGTTCAACATCCATTTATAAAGAAGGCCCACAAAGTAGTCAGGACAAAAGGAACATAATATCACAAAAGTCATAAATGGCAAACTTCACCATCACTTTTCTATTTAAAAGATTTATTTATTTATGCATATAGAACTGGGATACAGGCCAGAGGCTCAGGGACTGAGAGAGGATTCACCAGAGACAGAGTGGGGAGCAGAACAGGCTGACTGATGAAGTACACTGCTGAGGGGAACAGAGAGTAAGACAGGAGAGGTCTGCTGCGCCATGTGGGCCAGCTCCCTGACCAGGGATCAAATTCATGCTGAAGCAGCTACATTTAGCTTTGCAGCTTGCACTTTAACCAACTGTACCATCAGGGAGGGCCCTCGCCACTGCTTTTCAATATAATAGTGGAAGTCCTACCTAGAGTAATTAGGCAAAAGAAAGACATACAGGTAATCTAAATTGGGAGAAAAGAAGTAAACCTATTATTTGCATATGATGTGATAATAGATAGAAAAAAAAAAGCCTCTTAAAAATCCATGGAAAAACTAAACTGCCCAAATGCCCAAAAAAAGTGGCTACTGGATTAAAAAGATGTGGTACGTACACACAATGGAATATTACTCAGCAATCAAGAAAAAGAAACACATGTTTTTTGCAGCAACATGAATGGAGCTGGAAAAGATCATGCTTAGTGAAATAAGTCAGAAAGAAAAGGAAAAATACCGGATGGTTTCTCTCATAGCAGGGATATAACGGAACAGGCAAGAAAATAGTGATAATGATGAACAGCTATATGCCAGAGACATTTTGTGGGGGTGGAGCGGAGAATGGGATCAAAAACAGTGGGGGGAGGGAAATGCACTGGACTATGGTGATGGCACACAGGTGATTTGGTGATGGGAAACCCAAGGGGATTGCAACTGAGATGGAAAAATGCACAGAAATATGTAAAAATAAACTATTATAAAATTTTAAAAAATATTCAAAACTATTAGATATTTCATAGTTTTCAAAATCAGCATGAATTTTACATTTATAGCACATCTCAATTTGTATTTTTCCTCATTTTTTATAAATTGAGGTAACACATTTCAATTTCAAGTAGACATATTTCAAGTACTCAACAGCCAATTGTACTATTAAACACTTAATACTATGAAAAAAACTAATTAAAACAATAATCCACTATAAAATCAATACACAA